CTGGCCTGTAAATGAACTATGCAAATTCCAAGCTTTGAGTCGACCAGAAACTAATTATGATGCATTTGAGGAGCTTTTGATACCGCATTCTTAAATAAAAGCTTTTGTTTGAAGATCACATTGTTAAGAATCCAATCAGTGAAACTTTTTTAAATTATCGGTCTTTTTTTTAGTACTGGAAAAAATCCTTTTTAAATATTGTTAATGTGTTTTATTTACAAAATGTAGAGATAAAAGGGAAAAAAACTAATCTTAGAAGTTAGATATAAACCATAATGTACTGAATACACATAGAGGGTCAATCACCATTTGAAAGCGAGAGCAGTTTAATGTTTCGGGTGAGATTCTTTATCACAACCTATTCTTTTCGATGCTGCTCGACCAACTGTTGTGTATTTCCAGTCCATTTTACTATCAATATTCACATGTCTGGCTATTTAACACGTATGGATGCATTTAACCCAAAATTGCAAAAATGATTTATGAACATTTTGATTTATTGGAAGTCAATTAATAAGTGAATGAACTATTAGTGAACCACAAAATGGTAATAGGTAAGAAAACATAACAAAGGATAACTGTACAGCACTAAAGTCACCACTATAACACTGCAGCTCAATTATAACATGTTTTTCAGCCAAGGCCCATTTCTTGCTTTAAAAAAAAGTTATAATTTGAAGCCCTTTTAAAAATCAGAAGGCATTAAAACTTTATTTTATGCCCAATCCACTGTTTTACATGTTCTGTATTGGTTGAATTCATTTCAAGGGCTGGTATTGATGGCATTATTGGAGACATAGTTTGGGAGTTTTCACAGTCCTATGAATTTAACTGCAAACCCATAACCTTCTGAACTACAGGCAAAGAATGCTACCAACAATCTGAATTAACAACTAAAATCATCTAATTCAGCCCAGTCAATGAATCAAATGATATACTCTGCTGGTCTAAATACAGGAGCTCAGTTCCACACTGGGTACTATGGCTTTATAAAACAAAATGTATAAGACAAGACAAGTAAGCACAACAATGTCACAATTCATTCATTTTCTTTTTGGCTAATGCAAATTAATTCCCCAGAGCAATAGTACAGTCCCTCATCTATTCATCAGAGATGTCACTGAAGCTGGTTTAAACACAATGCATTGGAGATGGTGTAGAAAAGGTGCTTTACACTGTGTTTTACGTATACCATGGGAATTCTTTCATGCGGATGCCAGGGGTAAATAGTGGAAAAATCTCTAACCAAGCAAAATATTCAACAATACTTTTTTTTAACTAAATAGGGTAAAAGGCACACAGCAGTGGAGAAAGGAGAGAGTCAAAGAGGAAAGGAAAGAACTACCTACAGAGAGCAATCAAATTGAGGAATTAAAATGGGAGCCATCAGAACAGCCATTTACTGTGGACTGGCATCAATCCAGCTTCTTAATCAAACCATGCTCTCTAATATTCAGCCTATGCTCTATTATTCTTCAGATTGTTATATAGCTATGAAGCATAACATTGAGTCCACAGGGAAAGTAATTACTGGAAGGAGTTCGGGCTTTTCAATATTGGAACAGTAATTACAAGAAGGTAGAATGATGATTTTCATCACAATACAAGCCTTTATGTGAAGCTCTGTAGCAGATAGATTTCTTTTTAAAAGATCTGATTTTTTTAAAAAAACATCAGCTGATATGAACCGTGACAGGTTATCACAATTGTGCTTTATGCTTTCTTTTATGCCACTATCCAAGCATTTATGTTCTCACTGATGCAACTGGCAAGCACTAAATGTGCTTTGACTGCACATTCATTAAAAGTCCTTAAATTGGGAAAAAGACCGGCACGATTTGGGTCACTGGATGATTAGTAAAATTTAGGATGGGTTTCATTTGGAATTAATTGCATATAAAACAATGTAGATAACCGCAATCTGGGTTCATTCCAACCTCATTCCTCTGGTCCCAGTTCCTCATTAATCCCCTCATTGTAATTATGCCTTTATTTAAGGAGGCAATGTGTGTGTTTGCGAGGTCAAAATCAATGCTTATTTAAAATGCTCTGCTCTGGAGATGAAGTGGAGAAGCAAAGTGCATTTGGGAGGGGCATATAGGAGGAGATGGAATGCATGAGTGAGTTTGTACATGAATGTGACAGTGAGTCTACATCCGTCTTTATCCCAATCCTTTTTAAGAGACATGTTGGGAGATTCCCAATTGCTAGAATCACCCATTTGAGCAGAAGAAATTCCTGTGGAGAAAGGCAAAGAAAAAATTCTTTGCATGTTGCTGGCTAGAACATCAAAATGATTTCTCATTTTAATACCAGAGGTTCTTTCTAATGCATTGGATGTTTGCAACCTGCACCTTTACATCTTAACTGCATTCACATTCTGCTTTCAGTTGAGATGCCAGCATTCCCAAAGGAAAGTACAAATAGATACACACATTTATCACATTACTCCGACCTTTACAACTGTACAATTGTGGTCATCAGGCTTGGTGGACTAGATTGTGTAAGTGAACTAATGTTCATATTTTAATAGAAAGCTATTTCTTACAGAGCATTGAGCTACAAAATTCTCATTTACCATCATCAGTGCCGAATAGATTCTACATCAATGAATGAGCTGAAAAAGAAATCACTGAAGCAATTAAAAGGAGAAGCATTTTTGTGATCGGATCAATTTGTCGAAGAATGTGTTACTTGAGAAAATGTGACTATTCAAATGAATAGCTGTCAGAATATTGCAGAGTTTTATAGCCTCTCTATATCACAGCGCTACTTATGACACATATAATGCTGGAGCCAACAGAACTGTGGAAAGCACCAAATTTACACTGAGAGGCAGATTCACAGCAGCAGTGACAACCACAGAATATGTGGCCATGCAGAAGGTGTGCATCCATTTGGAAGTGACAAATAATTTTAATTTCCTGCTGCTGGAAGGTCTAGGCTGAAGGACCAAAGGGTATTGTGTGACTAAAGAGGTTGGTAACGAGTTTTTGAAATTGACAGTTGGTATAGACGAAACAGGGAAAGAATTTCAGACACATGGCAGATGAGTTCTGAGTCTACATTATTGTCAGACTTATGAATGAATTGTAGCAATAATTTCTAACTTCTCTTTCAAGTAAATTACTGCAGGCAATAAGCTATGGTAAAAATTACTTAACTGTAATTCTGTGATGGGTTTCTCTCATCTTTTCCTTCTGTATTCTGTGTAAAAGTGTAAGATATACTCTCACTCGTATAAGTGTGAGCGTAGAGAACAAGAGAGAGAAAAGAACATGCAAGACCATGAGGTCCTGTGACACAGAATGTGGAGAGAAAGGAGTGAAAATACAACACGACAGAAAGAACAGAAAGGCAGAGACAGATGGCACAGACATGCAGAGAAGACACCGTAGTCTGTACTGGCTGGGGTCAGCTGTTCTTTTCCAGTTATGAGACTGATTTTACTTCTTCTGGAGGAATGCTGTTGATGTGTTGGCAATCCCCTGAACTGTAATTAATGGTGAAAAACGACAGCCCGAAAGCATTAGGTTGCAGAGTGCCAGTTCGGAAGTCCCAGGTTATCAACTGGGCACAGGTTCTGTTTAATTCATTAGGTCTAGTGATTTATATATTAAAAAAAATCTAAATTAGTCAATTGCCGGATCACTTTTACGGGGATAATAATCCCTTCAAAAAATTATAATAATTTGGTCACTCAATCCATGACTGTTTGTGGGACACTGCTGTGTGCCGAGTTTCGCCCACAAGATGTACAGTTAATTCACTTTACAATATATTCTGTGATGCGCTTTGAGACGTCTTGAAGACGTGATATGGTGCTATATCAATTGCAAGGATTATTACTATTAAAATAAATTCACAGGGTCAGCACATGCCAGCAATGAGAAGAGTGTCCCAGTGTCAGTTCCAGGATCACATTGCTTTTACCCCCCACCGAATGGGAAGCCTGAAACAGGGAACCCATCTCAGCATTTACCAATATGGCTACAATTTTAAAGCCTATCCATGTATTTAAATATTCAATGCCCTAAATATGTCACAAAATCAAAATAATGCCTTCCGAGCAGTGAGTCTCTGGTAATTACTGAGCTAAAGGGAGAAGTCCAAAGTAATTCACACTCCTCCCCAAATGGAATAAATCATGTAAAGGTTGCCACACAACACGAATGTATTTAACAATCTGCACCCATGCACTCACGTGCAGAGCCTTCAGTCTAAATAAAAGGCACTGCCAAGCTGCCCGACAGCTCATTTGCTAAAACCATTCCCAAATTAGCTATGTAGGCCAGGGTGGTTCCAGATATACCAGGTGATCTCTGCAGGTATGGCAGAATGGGTGCTCAGCATCATTGGACCAGAAAAGGGAAACAAAAATAAGGCAGCGTTCTGTTCCCTGGCTATCGTTGTGTTCATTAGCAATTATACGTGCCCAAGGTGAGTGAAGATCCAATTGGGCTTGAAGTCTCCCTTGATCTACAGCCACTCACTGAATGGATTCAGATATGAGGAATGGTCCCTTGGGTTCCCTGAAGTATGATTGTTGCTCATGGAACCATATGTCTGCCTCTTCACTAGGCTAGAGCACAGCTTTACACTTGGAAACATCTACCAAACATCAATTGTTAATTCATTTTAGTGAATGTTATTTGCTTGCTTAGTAAAATGATAGTTGCTTGCATTGATGGAATAATACTGAGGAATGGTACCCATCCTGTAATTGGAACCATTAGTTGATGCTGATTCACACAGTTCTATTCAATTGTCAGACGAGACGAGTAAAAAAAGCAATTTGTTGGCAAGTAACATTAAGGGAGACAAGCCAATGAACCGTAACCTTATCTGGTTGAGAGCTAGTTAACATAAATGCTGATTCTAAACTAAATAGGCCACGGACAAATTCTGCAATGCATAGAATAAGAGCATTTTACACACATCAAGAAAAAATAATAATCTTTGCAAATGCAGGTTGTATTTCCTTAAGGTGATTTCCTTACCTTTTGTCTGCAAGGTCTGTTTTGTTACCCACTAGCATAATGATAACGTCACTTCCTCTTTCTGTTCTGACATCATCAATCCATTTTGAGGTCTGCTGAAAGGAGTTCACGTCTGCAGAGGATTAATAAACACAAGACTTTTGAGTCAGCTCCCATCGTCACAGGGGCCACGATAGTCCTCAGATGAACAGTGCCAAGATAGTCCTCAAAAGATGGACAGAGTCTCGGCTACCTGTGACGCTCATTCACTGGGCCAGGTCCCTCCCTGCATATTTCCTCTTTCAGCCTCTTCTTCCACATACAGAGTGGAATGTGTTTTTTGGGGGAACGCAATCAAATGTTAATCAGCAGCTTGATGCCATCTGTACATGGTGACAATGCAAAACCAGTCCAGATTTTTAAAAAAAATTATCTCATTTGCAAAACATTTTGAAATAAGTTTGTTTTAAATGGCAAAACGGAAGGGAGGAGGGTACTAGGAACAGGATTTTAGGGGGTTACCTAAAACGTTTTTTTAAAAAATATTTAGGAATACTGGGAATGGGGGAAACCTGAATCTCAGAGAAGCCTCAGGAGTTTCAATAAGAGCAAACAGGAAGTCAGAGAGGGCCAAATATTTGACAAGATTGAGAACTCTTGTGCAAGTTGCTTAGGAACCAGAACTCTGCTACTAAGAATTCCTGTCCACTTTAGCCACTGTACATGCACATACACTATCCTGCTTCCTAAGCAGAAACTGAATACACCAGTGTGAAGCAAATCTTCAATGAATGCCACTCACACAGTTGTCTCTCCAAGCATTCTTCTTTGAGCTTTCTTGCAAAGGCAGGACGCATTTTGCTTATTGGCACATCTTAAGCTTTTCTACCCACTGATGGCTAAACCACTAGATCCTGCTATTGAAAATCAAGAACAGTCTTGCTTCTGAACAATAATAGATTTCCCATAGTTGTTAAGACAACGTCACTTTTGATGTATCTCATTCAGTGTTGGGAACCACCTGATAGTCAAAAAGGAGGAGTCACAAGGAACAGGAACCACAATATCACTTTTATACATTTAAATGAAACTTCACAGGATTTGACTTGTGAAGGAAACACTGACAATTTACATTTACTAAAAAACTTCCTACTTCAGAACAGAAGGTTCCAGGCTTCTTTTGGCCCATTTGCCCTCTACCAGTACTCTGAGCAACGACTAGCTGAAGACAAAAGCTTCTACCAATGCAAGTCTATCACTGACTCTAAGGTGCCTTATTTGACAAACCTTTCAAGTTCCTTTCATTCTTATGATCTCTGTTTCCTTACGGACGGGTGGCTGGATCTCACCCTATAGGGAAATCATAGGTTCAACTCGTATCCTGCTCCTCTGCTTCAGATGGAATGAGGCTTCCAGAGACAGAACAATTACTGAAAGCACAAGGCTTCCTACATTTCTGGTATGCTCAAGAAACCAACTTCTCCTTTAGTGCCTGCAACCCCAATTTATTTTTATATTGATTCCTTCATGCAGGCATTGTAGACTTTTATTTTTTAACAGTTTAATTTGAAAATGACATCTTACTTCTGAAGCTTTTTATGCTGTTAATGGCTTTCCTGGCATATAACCTCAAAATAATGTAACTCTTCCAGTAAGTGCTCTGTGAAACTGAAAGTACCATTTGTCAACGACAGGTAATAATATTCTGTAAAATATTTTTGCCCAGTGTGCTGTTTGAATGCTTGCAATTTGTTTTTGTATAGTGCATAAATATGGCTCCTAAAATTGGTGGCTCGTAATTGGAAATAGTCCAGCAACAAATGTGATACCTAATTGCAGAAGCCAATCTCCATCTCAAATTTGCCTGATGATAGAAAATAGACTAGTCTGGCACTAAAGCAAATGATACATGAAGGAGACAAAACATTTCCCAGGACTGTTATAAAGATTAATAGTGCATACTTAATGTAGACAATTGCCACATTTGGAATTGCTTTCAACATGAACATATGGCGGCCTCACAGGAAGAGGAATCGGTCTCAAATAATCTATGGACATAAAGTGCCAAATGTTTCTCAGTTGAATCATTAAAGAAGCCCTGATCAGCAAAAATGCTTGTTGCCTTCAGAAACTAACCAGCAGCCGTGCCTCATTGTATAATTAAAACAACCCACCCGATCTATGTTACTTTTCTACAACTGAAATCTAGGAGACAGTGACTGAAGTTTTTTGGTTTGAATTCTCTCCGCCCCCCCCCAATCAAATTGACCCCCCACCCGCCCCCGGAACCAAATAATAAGTCATTTCTGATGATAAATATATTGGATTATAGAAATGTAGCACACATGCTTTAATGGCTTTGAGGAACCTGTCTACATTTAGTTTGAATTCTATTGTGAATCTAATTCCAAAATCTCAGATTTCAAGGAATTACTGTTTTCAAAGTATTACATTGTGCTGTGTTCGGGTGAGCAGTTTTGTGTTGTGTAATCATACCTACTCAGAAGTATTTTCAGCCAATATGGATTTGTTTATAACCAGGCCACATACAGCGAGCAGAATGAAAGGACACTTAATGTAATTGTTCTCAACACTTCTGACTGGGAGGGGAAAATCGAAGCTCAGCTAAAACACTTCAAATAATAATCCAAAGCTAGAGGTCAATATTAAGACCCACTGCAGCATGCAATTCCACAGAGAGGAGATAATATAAGACGCAGTACACAGCTATTCCATCTGTTGATTAGTACTATGTAAAGGGCGAGCACAGTCGCCTAGCAAAGTTATTTTAAAAAGCTCAGAACCATTGTACTGAATTATGCGCGATTGTATGATAATTTCATTAAAAAATCTTAACAACAATCAGGGAGAGAAATAACTTCAATCCTATTACTCTTGGCAGGATTCCAACAAGGTGTCAAGAATGGAAATGATGGTCATCAACCTTATTCACTTCACGTTTCATCTTCTCAACACTTATTCTTGCCATTTTATTCCTAAAAGACTGTTCTGAACTCTTTCCACTTAGGTAAGGTTCCCGATTAGTCATCTTTCATATAACAGTGAATGTTGGCAGGCTGATCAACCATAAGAGCATTATAGCCATGTCCAACTGGAATGACCCACCAATAAACTGAATAAATTTGCCGAGGGATCAAGAAATCTCTTGAATGTAATTACAACATTTTCAGAATGGAATTGGCCAACTAAGTCAAGTTTTCTCAATAATTTATAAGGTTTTGTTTTCCTATCGGATGTTTGGTTATGGAGGTGGGTGAAGAGAGAATAAAAAAAGAGTTGTTTAATACTGGGCCTTTTTGTTTTATTTAATTAGATGTGTTTTTACTATGAACGGTTTTATAATCAGTTCAGTTCCAGAAAATGTTTGTTCTGAGAATTCAACACAAATATCAGAGACTGGGAAGAGCTCACACTTCAGTACAGACTTTAGCAGGCACAATATGAACTTCTGTAATCCTGTTATCATATTGTTATCAGTAATGATAAAACAAGTATGTTCATGTATCTCCCAGGTGGGAACATAACAGCACCATCCTGTCACTGGTAATATTACATGTTCTGTACAACAAAAGTGACTTTAATATAGTAGCATTGAGCTTCAAAACTGTCGGAAGAAGCAAGAGTTGATAGACCTGAGGTCACATCGTAAAATCAATGAAGGAATTGGCAATACAAGGAGAAACGATACAATACAACACGGGAAACGTGCATCTAGCTGGTTAAGGAACAGTGTGAGGGCAGCAGGAGGCAGGCCGAAAGGTCAGGGAGAGGCACTAAGAAGGAAGTAAATCAGCAAATTAGCAAAACGCTGCACTCACTTGTAATATCAAAGACAACAACAGCTACAGTGGAATCACGTATGTAGCTGGGAATCAAACTTCGGAATCGCTCTTGCCCTGCTGTATCCCACAACTGCAACCGCACCTAACATGAGGGTGAACCACAGAAATAAAGGAAAAAAAAGGGACAAAAATAAAAGGAATGAAACATTGAAAATATTGCTGACAATATCCAGACACCTACTTGTAATATCATAGACTACAACAGCTGCTGCTGAATCTCGGATGTAACTGGGAATGAGACTACGGAAGCGTTCCTGGCCTGCTGTGTCCCACAGCTGAAGCCTGATCTGTAGAAAGGAAGAAGTAGGACAAATTCTTGCAAAGACACAAACGCATCTCTGTATTGTTTTTCTCGGCATGCAGCCATTGTACTGGACAGTCCTTGAAATATCAGCAGTTTATATAAACCTTCACCTGGCCCTTATTTGGATTAAATGAGGAATAATCGTCAGGACTGGAATCCCATCTTTTTCTTAAAGACCAAAAATTCTGTATTTCAAGCACTCACTCACTGAGGTCCATTAAAGAGACAACAAGCTTTAATTTACCATTGGTGATAAAATCATTAATGCTGCATAATTCAATTGGAACAATTTGCCTAATCAATTTTATTTTCATTATGAAAGTTAAAGGACACTCCAGGTGGGAATATAAAATAAAAGTGAATAGAGCTTATGAAAGGAAACCATCATGGGTTAGTCTTTTTTTCTTTCCTGCTAAGACTGTCTTGACACACAATGTCTGTGCACTGCCTCTATAACAGGAATCACCAATGAACCAAAAGATCATCTTCACATTAACAAGATGGTTTGGCAGTATCTTGCCACTAACTCCCTCCTGGGTTTCAGAGAGTGGGAAACTGGATACATTAGTGCCTTTTTTGGCAAATTAAGAATGTTGCTTAGCCCTAGTTTTTTAAAATCTGATGTTTAGATGGTAATTGACATTACCGCCTATATGATTTCAGTTTCATGAGCAGCACCCAGAATTCTGATTGACGCAATTTTCTTGTACCCATCAGCCAACGTGAACTCGAGAGAAGGTGCAGGAGAAATATGGGAAGACAAATTAATATATTTTTACAATTTATTTTAAAAGGTCGTATACTCAAAGTACAAGTCAATTAGAATCCCCTATAATTGACACGGAGAGAAGATTTTTACTTTCAGTCTGCCTGCATTCAAATCCAGTTCTCCAGAGAAATGTGTGGTAACTAACGTCACCACCAAATATCCAAGAGGTCATATTTTCAAGTAAATTGTTCATCACCATGAGTCAAAGCTAGGCTATTACCATTGAGAGAAATTTTAGGAGTGACATTTATGCTCAATAAGACATGGATTGTAAACCATTAAAGCATATGGAACTGGTGTTTACGTTAAGGAATAACATACATCAAATCACATTTTAGTTTTAAATCAAAATGCATTGCTGTCACTGGATGTAAGTGACACAACACAGATTTACATTCTTCTGATGAGCCAATCCAGTATTTGATGGATTCCTTTCAAGATGGCAACGTTATACCAGCATCATATCCCAAACTACTTCTGCTTTGTGCTCATTTCATTCTGTAATATTGATGCTGTCAGGCAAGGAGAACAGAAAACAGACTGAAGGATAATTAAGTTTAAAAGAAAGAGCATGCTACAGAAAAGGAGTAATATGCTCAGAGTGCATTTTTCATGGCTGGCCACATTCAACCAGTTATCAGGAGCATGAAGGAGTTCAAACCAGGCCAATGATTTAATGCAGCCTCCTCCGCAGAGCAACACTATTCACTGTCATGAAGTAAGGGCTTTTACTTAAAGAATATAAAAATTCTCTCTAGTTTAAACTCCTCAAAATGTAATTATAAGTAGGTTACTCTTACTCAAGTCTTACTTCCTTTTAAGAGTAGAAAAATGGGCAACAACTGAAGATTAACCAGAATCTGCTGACACATTCAAGCATCCTTGTAGCTTTCACATATGGAGTCTTTTGGGTTTTGTGAAAGGTGTTTATATTTAACTTTATCTTCATTTAATTTGGGAAAGAGATACGTACGTTAAAGAAAGGAACAAGGAGCCATTCCCCATATCAAAAAATAGAAGCATCATCATCAAAAATTCTCAGGTTGTCTACGCCATGGAAGGAGGGTAAATATAGTTCTAAAGATTGCAGAGCAGTGTCTTCTGTGTTAATCTGCACAGTTTCCAGTACAACAAATTCCCATATGACAACTCTAGCAATTAGCTTCGGAAACCAAGCTGGAAATAAATTTGAACAGGAATAACTTACACATTAACTCTCTCAAGCCTGAATATTGTAACACAAAAATACTGTGACCTTTTCTCTTGAAGACATCGATGGAGCATTACTAAGACAGGAACAGCGAAATTTGGTCACTGTTTAATTTACATATGCAAATCAACATAATTAGCACACTTCAGTCCTTTATGTTTCACAGCAGTGGAATCCATATGGTTTCTGGATTTTAGAAGATCTATTTTATAATGCCATTACATATGTTAATTTGGTAATTGGTATAACTTACTAATATATTCTTTTAACATAACTGATAATATATAGCAGGCTTCATAAAGGAATTAAGTGATTTGCATTAATCTAGTTTATAATTATGTTTGGGACCAGAATATTTTAATGAATCTAATTTGCATTATAATAAATGAAACGGTGGAAACCAATTTAAAAGCTTCACATTCAAGACTAGAGCTTTCTGCCTGTTGGGATGGGACTCAATGAATTATACTGAAGCATGGTGAAAAGTTGGTTCTCTCATCCTGAAAGGATTCCAAAATATTAATAAATAAATCATTTAATTAAAGTCATTTTGTAGGACCAGAAGAGGAAAGGAAATAAGGCAAGAAAACTTAACAAAAATTCATATATCAACTGAACATTTGAAATACATAATTTGCACATTAAGCAAACAGAATTCGATCAGTTATTTAAACATTCTTGGTGAACTAAATCGGACATTCAATAGTACACTGAAGCAAATTACGGTTACTTACTGTTCGGTCTTCCAAATACATTGTTTTTGATAGAAAATCAATTCCGATAGTTGCCTGTAAAACAAAATGGATAAGTACTGAAGGAGACTGGTTTATATACAGCTGCTGTTGCAGATACATTCAAAAACAACTTGTCAACATTTGCCCACTTTTTTGAGTTTTTAATATCAACTTTAATGATTGGACTCGAGTTAGTACAAGTACTTCACTACTGCCATTTGATGCATCCGTGGTTTAAACTAAAGCCACATTGAAGACCTTTCCGGGTCATTTTTTTCTTCATCCAGCTCAGATATTGTGTCTGAATGCTTCAACCAGCCAAGATTCATTGTGTTGCATATCAAAAACTCTCAAACTTCCAGATCTCAACAACTCTAAGTACAAAGAAATAACTCAAGTTCCTGAAGACAGCTGTCAATGGTTGTGAATGGTTGCGTACATTAGATAGATCAATGGTCTACTCTTGAGTGAAACTATGCTTAGGGGATAATCCTATTCCCTGATTATAAACAAATATCAAATCCTGTCTCTCTTTATTTATAGTTGATAAAACTAGTGCCTCTTGTGAAATGGAGCTTGTTTGTGCTCAGTGAGCTGATCTTACCTGCAGCAGCAATAACAATCTCTAGATATATCCCTCCCCCCACCACCACACTGCAAGTTCTATACAGGCCCCTCAACCTTCCTAACCTAAGGAACAATTCTCTTGCACCAGCACAAACCATGATTAAAACAAATTTAAATTCGAACATTTGTTACTGTAATGGGAAGGCAAGATCCCCTTCTATCCATGGGATTAAGTTTTCACAACACAAAAGAAAAGTAATAAAACTCAAGCCATTCAAACATTGTATTTTCCCCATCTACAAAACCATGAGCCAGGGCTAATTACAAACAAGCTGTTCAGTTATGTGCTTGAAATGCATCAAACTTTTCCCAACAGTATTATAAAATACCAAAAGAATTATCAGAGGCTAAATTACAAAAAAAGTACAATATTTCCTGTTGGTCTTGTATGATTGTAAACACCATAGCAAGACTGGTTGGATTGGTTAGCTATTTCACTATGATATTCAGCCAATAAACTGCAGAAATTGCCTCACTCTTGACTAAAACATGAAGGAAATGATTAACTTCAAGAGTGTCAGCAAAGATCTTAGTCAACTTAATGAAACACAGGCTCAAAGATAACATTGCAGTCTGATTCATAAGATTTTATTTTGATTTATCCAGAGTCTGATGAAAGATTGTATTACAAATCAAGTCACCGACATAAATGTGGTGTGACACAGATTCTTACATTGGATATAATATTTATCATATATTAAAATAGGTCAAACACTTCAGAGTTTTCTGTTAGGTTTGATGACTGTATTTGTAGGAAAGTGTTGTAACCAATTTGCACACAATAATGTCTTACAAATAGCCATGACGATGCAATCCTCCCCATTGCATTGGAGTGTCAGTTTATACTGAGTTCAAAGTCCTAACATGAGCTTGAACCAAGGACTTTCTGACGTAAGAGGCAAGAGTGCTTCTAGCTGAGCCACGTTAATACCTGGTGCAATTTTACTGATTTGATGATGTCTTTTGAAAGTCTCTTTATCAGATGACAATGTCCTTTTAAGCCACAAAACAAGACAGAATACAATGTACCCCAAGGTTCATTCGTTTTGAGGGTGGAGATGAGATGATAATACCCGTCTAATCCAACAGAAAGAAAAACAAGACACAATGTAGCACGACATTCCTACTAACTGCATGCAGCAAAAAGTAGATGGTTCAGCTGGAATCAAAGCAATGCATGATTTAGCAGCTGGTTTTAGAGCAAGAACAAGTTCTGTAAGGAACAGGTGGTACATGTTGGTAGGAGGAATAAGGAGGTCACATATTGCCTAGAAAAGGGTGCAGATACACAAATTGCTAGAAGTAGTGATGCAGGTTAATAAGGCCATAAAAAAAGTAAACCAAGTTTTGGGGTTCATTTCTAGAGGGATAGAAATGAAAAGGAGGGAAGTTATGCTAAATTTATATCAAACCCTGGTTAGACCACACTTGGAGTACTGTGTACAGTTCTGGTCCCTATATTATAGAAAGGATATAGAGGCACTGGAGAAGCGCAAAGTGGATTTACAAGGATGATACCGGAACTGAGAGGTTATACTTATCAGGAAAACCTGAACAAGCTTAGACTCTTCTCTTGAAAAGAGAAGTGTAAGGGGTAACCTAATAGAGGTCTTTAAAATTATGAAAGGTTTTGATAGGGTAGACATAGAGAACATGTTTCCACTTATGGGGGAGACCAAAACCAGGGGCCATCAATATAAAATGGTCACCAATAAATCAAATAGGGAAGTCAGCAGAAACTTCTTTACCCAGAGAATGGTGGGAATATCTGGCCTTATTCTGTTTTGTGGCCGGCAGTAATTATGTTCGTGAAATTCTCACCTCATTTGACAAGATCTTGCTACCACAAGGTGTAGTTGAGGTGAATAGCATAGATGCATTTAAGGTGAAGGTAGATAGGTACATGAGGGAGAAAGGAATAGAAGGTTATGCTGATAGGCTTAGTTTAGGAAGGGCAGGAAGAGGCTCATGTGGACCATGAACACTGGCATAGACCAGTTGGGCCAAATGGCCTGTTTCTGTGCTGTATATTCTATGAATAGAATTCCAGAATTCCTAATATTGACTCGAAAGCTGTTTAAAGTCTCTTCGATGTTACAGAATACCAATCAAAGATACACAGCAGGCTGGCCAAGAACATCCACACTGAAATAAATAGCCCATGTGGGATGATCTTGTCAAAGGAGATGAGGTGAGAATTTCACGAACATAATTACTGCCGGCCACAAAACAGAATACTTCATATCCCAGGCAGGAGAACATGGCTCAGCGACCTTCAAATCAAAGCCTGCCGTACGCCTGATAATGAGACAGGGTTTCTGCACTGCCAAGCCGCTGTGACAGAAGCCTTTGTGAAGAACATACTGAAATCCAAGCATTCACTGTCACACTATCCGTGCAATTTGGAGCACTTTTTCCAAACTGCATAGAGAATAGTTAGCTAAGCAGTCCGTCAATCTTCATGGCAACCATTTTGTGGGAGTGAGACAATTGAAGAAGGCCCCACCGATGAGATCTACTGGACCAAGAGATCCCAATTGCTTTAACGTTATACTGAGAATGAATAACCACATTGTGTTTTGCTTGTTTGTAGTGCATTACTGTGCAACCACCACCATTATCAACTGCTCATTAACTACAAAAGTTAATGTTTTAATTGTTTGTTGATTGGGTTGTCACCTTCTATAACACAAAACAAATGCTCAAAAGAGGGTGGAGGTCTGCGAGTGGCCGAATGTCAGAAGAGTTTGTAAGTTTTTTTTAGGATGCAAAACACATTTCCCACCATTTATTACTTCATGGCTGTAATGTTGCACGATTGCATGTCCTGGAGTTCACTTCTCTGGAGCCTGGGACCTATGTGCTAAACAAGGTCATTACTGATCGACACTTACATGCGTGGCTGACAGTCTATGTAATTCAAATCAAGCTTGTGACATTTTTAGGAAAGCTAGTGGCAATCATTTTGAGACTCAGTCAGGGTACTACAAATGGCCTTGGAATTTCTGAGGGAAAAATTGCTCAGGGTCTACCACTAACCATAATCCAGTAATCCCGGTTAGAAGTGCACAAGTGTGGAGGTCAAAAGGGGATAGGATTGGATCCCCTACAGATGCTCATTGTCAACACTCACACATGAGTAATGGTTACTTGAGCAAGACATCCAAGATCAACTGGCGCTCATGGAATTGTTTTCCTTCAGAAGAGGAAGGGGATAAAATTATCAATCAACACATTCCCCAAACTAAGAGTTTACCAGAGTAATTGAATGAACATTGGATGCAGCTGAATAAAATTCAATAGTGGTTTGGTTTGTTTCTTAGTTTTTGAGCTACGAGAGTAAGAACTTGGACAACCGTGGCCTGAAATTTGATCCAATTTTAGCCTGGAAGATTACTCTAATTCGAAATTCAAGATCACACAGAATGGTGGAAAATTCTTGAATTGATTTAAAAACAACAGCTCCAAATTAAGACAGAGTTTAAGAATTTTTGTATAATTTTGCACAATCTTAAAGTTCAAGACAAAATCGGTTTTACAGGCGAAAACTCAGAAAAAATATCAGCCTGCCTATGCAGATTTCTTGCAGTATATATTTTGTTTCTTTCCCTCTGTCCCCTTCCATTTCCTCCAAATCAGTCTCTGATGTCTGACCTGCTGACATCTTTTCAGCTATTTCAGCCTCCCACCCTATCGACCGGTACTCAAACAAAGACTCTGCACCTAGGTTGATCCCTCCCCCCGCCCCTCAACATGGGTGCTGGGGTTTGTCAGTCAACAGCCTCCGAACCATTTCTGAACTGTGTTACCCTGTGCATTCCCATGGGGAAAAAGAAATTGACCTCTATTGCTGCAAACAACTGGCCTCAATATTCATTAAAAAAAACTGTGCAGGTGGAAAACTGACCAGATGGCAACCTTACCTGAAGATTGCAGGAGGAAGGGAAGACAGATAGAGATAAGGAATTCCACATTCCTGGGAAAGAATGAGTTAAGAGTAGGAGATAGTGTGCTGCGTTTTCATTTCAACACTGTAAGGATACAGAGGGACTATGTGGGTCAGCATTGTTTTGATTTTGGGTTGAACAAGAAGAATATTTGAATGAGCAATGACCACAAAAGTAACAATAAAGTAAATACAAGAGCATCTGAGGGAGGCAGAGACTGAGAGATGGTGGAGGCCATGAGGTCAATCTAAAGGGAGACAACTTTCCAGGAAAAAGTGGCTTAAGTAGGATATCCCCTGGTCCACTCTTCTCAATCCCACAGGATAATGCAAGCAGAGTCAGTCCAGTAATGTATTCTGATTTAAAATCAGTTTCAACCACAATCCCATTTCTCCCAATCCTTGACATCAAAAAAATCAGGTAACAACAGAGAATTCTCATGAGGAACACACTGAACAACAACAACAACAATTTGCACTT